CCCCCCCCCCCCCCCCCTGCCATACATTATGAACGCAGCCTTACTTTGATTGTTAGGCTCATGTCAAACGTTGAACTTCACATGGGCTGAACCTAATGACATCAAAGAAGACTGCCTTGTTATCTGTTGTTCCAATAATGTTCCCCTCCTGTGRAGTCTGACGTTTCACCTGTGCCTTACTCTCTGATTGCACAACTTTTTGGCCAACTAATCCTCTAAGTTGAAGAAGGATTTTGATTGACTTGTTTGAATTCTTTGAAGACTTGTCTATCGGTGTGTGTATATGCTAAGACTGGAATCGTACTTGAAGGGCAGTCCTCTTTCACGTCCCCTAGAAAATTAAAAGATATCATTAGGATATCATCAAAACAGTTAAACAATAAGTAAAATTAAAGTACATGGTCACAGTACGGTGGAGTCCTGTTATCTCAAACTTTCCATCTCAAACTAAGACCACAGGTTTGTCTTTGTAAACTATAAAAGTTTATTTTAAAGTTGATTTGTTTCATGGCCTTGTTAATACAAACCCCTCTGTTATTTCAAGCCTTTTCCCTAGTCCCATTTGAAATACAGGACTCCATCTACTATGAGGTAATGTTAAAGAATAACTTCGACATTATGAATGCAAGTGAYGTCAAACTTACTTCAGGCCTCGTACAAGCATTTTTTCACTCTTCAGTTTTTCTGTATCCTTGAGGTTATTTGGATAACCACAGCCTATGAAAATGTCAAAACACATCTACAAACAAACAAAAAAGAGAAGAAAAAAAGAAATCTCTGTTATTCATTTGAGAGGTACAGTAATAAGAAATACAACAACAAAATTGGTGTCAGTATGTATTGGTAGGTTTTTAGTAAGTTTTCAGTAGGTTGATAAAAAAGTGAGCGGGATTTCCTACCAGCCAGCAGGTCTGAAGGGAAAACTGTGCACAGGGTCTTGAATGTATGGACAGAGGCTGAGGTCTGTTTTCAAGACTGAGCATGGATACAAATTTTCCCTATCCTGACTGACTTTAGAATAGTAAATGAGAATGATTAGTGTGGTCACCAACCTGCAGTCGCTTCATCTGATTGGTTAAAATATTGTCAGGTGAGTCCAGCGTCATCAGGTCTTGGTAATGTACATTGACCTCTGCTTCCATTGACTATGGAAACACAGAACTTTTGTTATAGGTGTATGTGTTATTTTAAGAATTCCTAATTTTCAGAATTTTCTTTTTTTTTTTGCCAATAGCTTAATTTTAAGAACCCTTTATAAACCCAAGGGGAAAACATACCAAAAAATAAAAAGATTTGACTGAATGCTTTTTGAATTGCTTTTCTTTAAAGACATGAAAATCTGATCCAGAAAGTCTTAACAATTTGTTCAATGGCATTTGTAATTTCTCATCATATTTAGCTATGTGCTGCACATGCTCAAAAAAACCATTTCAAGCCCCCTAAATATATCAAAATAAATATTAAATTAACAACTTCATAATAGGACTTGACTTACCCTTGTCATTTCATCAGATATCTCTGCTTCACTGGTCTTCACACACAGACTAAACAGTGGAGGTTTGACAGGATAGTCTTGGTGCACTACCACCACTACTTCTAGTATCTCTGTAAATTGTGGCATAAGTGTGTTTGTGTAAGCATGTTTTCCCATATTTATCCCAAACTTAGTTTTCTAGGGTTTGTGGAGGGAAAAAAACTTGAGAATCCAGAGAAAACCCCGCCAATCAAGGGAAAGACTGATCAGAGATCTGCAGAAGAATTATACTTGCATAATTCAGAGTATGGTTAAATTTCTTAGAAGAAAGCTATGTTTTGTATTCCATAAAGCAACAATCACAAGCAAGGATGTATGTATACCTTTGGAGTCTCTCTGAAACTGTGCAGTGAAAAACATGTCTGATTCTGAAATCAGGTCTTCTGTTACTAGATTCTTTGCAAAARGTATTTCCTGCAAAGAGAATTACGAGATCACTAATAGGTAATAAGCTATTGATTGACCCTCAAATGCCCTATAGACATCACAGATCACTCGTCAGATTACAGACAATAATTTAAGAAAAATTCTTATCAAACTCATGAATAATTCATGAGGATAACACAACAGAAATCACGACCGTGAAGAGTGTTGTAAATCTGATACAAAACTGTGTTCATTTGCATAAACTTTAAGTTGGATTTTCTTGGCCAAATTCACTCTAATTTTGAAAATTTTAGTGAAACACAAAGGAACTAACCTAGACGTTTGATAAGTCATATACAGTATTCGTGTCCGTGTTGTATCAGATATGCAATCACTCGGCTATGCCTTGTGGTTGTACATGTATATCTGATACAACACGGCCACTCATATTGTATATATTACATATCATACACTCTGAATTTAAAGTTGGAAGTTTAATAACTATTGGTACTCACAACAAAATCTGCATAGGTTAAAGGTTTCCAGGATTTCAGAGCTGACTGGATTTTGTGTGGAAAGAGTGTTGAATTGCCTTTAATGTCTGGAATCTTGCATCCCTCTGTGGATGGTAAAATTAATAAATAACCAAAGATACGATGGATTGAGTAAAACAACAAACTGAAAGAGTATAAAAGAATAAGTTAYAGCGCAATACACAAAAGTATGACCACATTATTTATGTATTCAGACACAGGCTTTTTCCTTCCTTATAGTACACTCAATAAAATTACTCGACTCTGATTGGTCGAGAGGAGTACAATTATAGCGTTAATCACCTAAAGGCTCRTGCAATTACAAGAACTTTCAAAATATTACTCGTGTCTATTAATTTCCAAATTGTACTCAAGATCGTGCGATTTCCTATACAAACGATAGTTTGCATGCCTTATTATGTTGGTATAACCAGCCAGCTTCGCATTAAAATGTGTCAGTTTAACATGGCCATACTTCTGCGTGTTGCACTGCAAGAGATTGGCCCATCTTAAATTGAAATAAACTTGGTGTAGTTTTTAAAATATAAAAAAAATAATCAGCAATGTCATTTTTATGAGAATATTATTTATTTATTTAGAATCACAATAATTCAGGATTAAAAACCAATTTAAAATCTGGATTTCTTAAAAAAATATTGCATTGTTTCGTAACCAAAAAAACAGCAGTTCAAAGCCCATATTATTTTTTATTATTTTGAATAAATAATAATCATAAAGTAGACAAACGTACTGTACCTAAAGATGCTAACTGTTTCTGCAATGCTAGTCTTGCCAGGATCCGTGCTCTAATAGCCAGAATGGTCTCCTCCATGTGGGATGAACTTAACTGGGATTTTGCTGAGACGGCCTGTCATACAAAGTATTAAATATTATCAAATTCCTGCCAGTATCCACAATCAGGTATCCATAGAAACAAAGGGGTTCTGCACAGGGGCATAGAAAGGTCTCTATTATAGAGGGGGATAATGTACCATTTTACCCCAAATCCAAGGAATTCTGCATGAATTAATTACATTTTGGTACCTAAAGCTTTTGGAGTGGCACGTAACGTGCTCCCCCTTTCCTACGTAAGTGTTTCTGTGTGACCCACGATAGCACCAAGATTAGCTGCATGATAGGTTAGTATAATTATTCCCTAATAAGCTATGTGATGCTTCATTTCATATCATGACATTATGCGTAATGCATGAAAGTTACTCAAAACATTTCTCAGTGATGCGTGATTTTGTTCAAAAATTCAGTGCGAAGTACGGGGAGCCTACTTTGCCATCCTGTGGAAATCAAAGTATCTGTTTTACTGTATTTTAATGGAGATATGCTTGGCTTTTCATGCACAAAGATTTCAAAGTGAGGCTTTGTGCATAAGGAGAGAAGAATAACAATATACAATTTAGCACCTTGCCTCGTACTGAAACCTTTGTGCTTAACAAGCAAAGCATAAGTGTATTTCGAAGAGGGTATTACCGTAACATCAGGGAGAAACTCAAGTCCACAAATCTTTTGTGCCCACAAGAATGGTTTGCCGATCTCTTTGATGCAAGAAAAATCTGAAATCCTGTGAAAAAATAAAGTAGGTTCACAAAACAGTTAGCCAAGTTCAGTTTTAGATCAACAGGTTGTAGATAATGATTGTATTACAAAATAATTTAAACATTGATTAGTACATAAATTTCACGCCGTGACACAGCCACCATGTTGGTGTTCCAAAAAAATACATTTTCTATCCTCTGGGAATTGAACTCTATTTTTATGCAAAAACTGTGCAGAAAGTTTCTATTGTTTGGTACACCAATATGGCTGCTTTGGGATGTGAATGAAAACACTATAAAACAAAAAGGATGGAGTGCAGTCAATAAACCAGAGAAATACATTAGTAGACCATAATGCTGCCATTGTTTTCTTTGGCTTTGACTCAATGTTTTCCCATTTCAGACAACATGTCATTCCCTAGAGTATCATTTCTTTGTTTAATGGTTTGCACTAGGTTGCACATCAGAAGACACATGAATATGGATACAGCTCAAACAAAGAATCTTATTCTCAAGGGAATGACACATGGTCTGAAATGGGAAAACATTACCCCAAGCCAAAGAGGTCTATTGCCTTCACTCTGTTGCAACTACTAGCTATTTAGTTTTTAAAAGTTTTCATTTTCACTGCCAGAATGTTTTCGGTTTTTCTTTTGTGTACACATCTTAGACTCACCCAACTTTTGCCAACTGAAACTGATTGGTTGGATTGGGTAAGCTGTTTCCATGGTCACCAGGTAATAAACAGTCGAGTATGGASTCCGGAGACAGCAGATTTCTGTACAAATATCAATAATAAAGTTAATTTAAGTTAACAAATGATACTGTATTTTAAATAAATCAGGAGTAAGAGAACGACTTGAAAATGATATTTGAAAAAAACATTTCCACTCTGCAGAAACTTTAGGTGCCTTTGACTTTTTTTACATTTTTATATAAAAAATAAGCCATTCTAAGAATTGATTCTGATACCTCTTAGAATGTTTATTAGAATGGTTTATATTTTGGTATAAAAACGTTTAAAAAGGGTCATAGGCACATAAAATAAATTTAAGCCCTTGCTTTAATTATTGCTCTTATAAAAAGTGAGGCTTGCCTTACCTTGATGCAAGAACCGGCATTTCTCCACCTTCCACCAAGGAAAGTGATGGAGTAGCAGTTACGATGTTCAAGGTTGGAAGGTAGGAAAATGTCAGTGAGAGTGAGTCTTTGCCTGAGAAAAGAAATTCAGTAACAAACAGTGAGATTCACAAACAAGGAAGGAGATTCAAACAATCAATTTACAGCAGCATTGATAAATATTTTGCTATTTTGCAAGACTTTTGAAAGTATGTGCACAACCTCAAGTTATCATAGTACAGCCTTCACACCTCAAAATAAGCAAATTTACAAGATGCAAGATTGCAGGTCAACTTTCACTGGTCTAAGAGAAAAGAAAGACGAGGGAATGGTACTCTATTGAATAGTCAACTAAGTATAAACAAACTTACTTTTAAAGGTAAACCGAATAATGACTTGTAGTGGATGATTTTTAAGCAAAGCCTTCTTTGCTTCCAGTTGACGACTTTTCTCTTTCATTCTTCTACGCTTTGACTATTAAACACATGAAATAGAGAACGACATATATAAAGAAGCATCCCAGTGCCTTGTACACAAAGTTCCTAGCTTATAGGCAGGCAGGCAGGCAGGCAGGCAGATAGGTTGGCTGACTGACTGAATGTGACTAATTAAGTAACTGATTTGTCAATTAAACACCTACCCTTCTCTTATCTGTTGCATCTTCTGTCCCTTCTTGGTCAGAATCACTTTCTTCATCTAAAAAATAAAAATGTCAACATAAACACCAACCATCCCTCATCTACATATGTATATGTAAATAACAACAGCTCATTTTCTTACCAGTTCTCATGATTGGCTTCTCCTCCAAGACAGCCTTAGCAGCATCCAAATCTCCCTGGATCTGAATATCAAGGTTCTTGTCACATGCCTCATGATAGGCAGTGGATTGTACGTACAGGACATACAGTGGTAGAGGAAGATATTTGGCTGTCTCGTACTGGGCTCTTTGGGCATCTAATGGAAGATTCAGGTATTCTTGCACTGGGAGGGTGGCCTATATTCAAGAACATAATTTATATATATTTTTTTATTATGCTAGCTATAGAGCGTTTGCTGCATACTATTAACATGTTATTCATATTTTAGTACTCCCGAAAAAAGCTGTTTTTGTTGTTTTACAGGTGCACTGCCATCTTATCAACTGTTCCTACCGTATATAATTATGTTCTTGAAGGGCAAGTTTAGGTAGTTGGGTTGGTCAGKGGAAAGCTAACTGCACAACACAGGAAGCCCAATTCAAAACTTCATCATGATTGTATAGTTTGACTCTTCCTTTTGCTCCAAGTATACTTTATATACATGTAATATATGTTTGTGGTATTTGATTGCGTACATTCAATTTACTATTCAATATTGTCATTTCAAAGGAGAGCAAACCTTCAGAATATTCTCAAGTCTTGGCTGTAAGCTGTCCATGAATTCTTTCTTGGCCTTGATTTCAAGAGCCAGATGATCTTTGCGCTTCGTAAACTCCTCCTTTTGACTGGCATATCTGGTGGGGGGGAAACAAGTTCTTTAGTGAATATATATTTTWAAAAAATTCATGACAGAACTTTAAGGCTTCAAATAGAAAATGAAAATGGCCAGACAGTTTTTTAAATCTTATCAGGAAAAATAATTTTGGTGAAGAAAAATTTCCCCTTCCATCRTGTTCCATTTGGTTCCAGTTTAATATTGTTTTAGTCTGCTAGTAATAAAATTTGACCCACATTTTGGCCATTGACAGGCCACTATTTTGAGCCCTGTAACCCTGTTCTTGTCTTTACTATTGAGGCAGAGAGTATAAATTCAAGGTCAGATAAATGTTTTGTCCTATGACCAATACTTTAGGGGTTTAACCAACAGCAAAAGTTTCAGCACTTGCATAAATCGTAGTTATGATTATGCTTGCATCATAAAACGAGACATGTGAAATCATATATCTACCTCTTTCTTTGTTCCAATTCCCAGTCAAGTCTTGCCAGCATTCTCTGGTGGGGATCATTTTTAGTCACTTCCTATAATATCAAAAACRAATCACAAAAAAATTAAATCTACAGTATGAAAAATACTCCTGTTGCTATACTGTACAGTTTACAGTCATCATGCCCCCTCCCCATCTAGCCCCTAACCATCATGCCCCCTACCCATCTAGCCCCTAACCACCATGCTCCCTACCCATCTAGGCCCAAACCAAGATGATCAGTTACCCTGTTATACTCCAAGATATTTTATAAGTATATATAATGTAGCAGAAATTAGTCACGCCTAAAGGTTATGGGTGTAAGAGGGGGAAAAAATGATTATAATAATTTTTTTGAAATGGATCAAGGMTGATACTGATAATCTGGGGAATCAAGGGTGGCATAGCTTTAGTGCTTTTTCTCCCACCTCTCGTTTCTCATGTTTGATGTCTGTACCCTTCATTACATGCARGTAGAGTTTATTGAGTCTTTCCCTTGATTCAAGGGTTTCAATCAAAGTATCACTACATTGCAATTTGATTCGTGAGTAATCCAYGATAACTTGATCAGAGCTTCTTCCAGGGTCTGATAAGAAGGAACTGATACATAGGATATTTATTTTCACATTATTTTTATAGCGACATCTAACAACAGTAACTGATGGTCTGACATCATCATTAGAGAAAACTCACAGGCTTAGAGAATTCCTTTGGTGCATCATTATAAAATTCTTCTTCTGATACTAGATCTATTTCTTCATCTTTAGACCTGAATGGAAAAAAGTGAAAAATGTTATTTCAACAGAGTTTGATGGGGTTTCTCCCTTGTTTTGAGGGTTTTTCTCTGGGTTCTCCAGTCTTCATACCCCATAAAACTGAACACCCCAAGTTCCAAATGGATTTATGAATTAGTTTTGAGGTTAACTCAAGAAGAAAGTTTGTTCTAAGATCAGTCAACAATAGTCTTTTATTCCCATGAAAGACTAATGTTCAAAACGTCAGACTTACCAACCTCATCATCTCAAATGAGTTTAACCCAAAGCTATTTTAACTAATGACCAGGCGACGGACAATGTCCAGCCAAAACTGGCATTTGTGGGRCCAAACACCTCTTACACTGATTCCCTTGACCAGTTACTGTATATTGGGCTGATCACCATTTCAAGCTATTTATCTCCTATTATTATCATTATTATTATTATTTCTTTCTTTCTTTCTTTCTTGTCACATAATTAGTCAATCATTWTTATATTTTAATTATTTCTTACTTGAATTCCAGGCATTTTGTTATTTCTTTTTTCAGGTGCATCACTTCATAGAGGAGATTCTGGAGCTCAAGGAGAAGCTCATCAACTTTCTGCTTTGCCTGGAAATAAGACCACAAAACTACAATTATTTTTTAAAGTTTTAGCATAAGTGAGGTATTCTATAGTCAAAAGGAATAAGGAACAAGAGGATGGCTAATTACTCCTTTCAAGAGATTAAAATACTTCTTTTTACAGTTCCRTTCAGTGACCACAAGTTGAGGTTGGAGTTACCTCACACGATAAACTATAGTTTTCCTATGCAAAATCATTGGATATTAATATTCTGCCGCCATTATAATAATTAATAGCATTCCCACATACTCTCCGGTCCCTGGGGGATTGGAAGAGGTTGCTCATTGGTTGGGAACTGATATCTAAGTAAAGGACGCATGCTTTGGCRTGGTTGAACAAGATAGCCGAACTATGTGTGGCACCCACCCATCCACCCACCCAGTGTTTAAGCTGGGTTGATGTTGACCCTGGCACATCCTTAGCACTTCGTGCTGGATYTGTTTCCGGTCGGAGTGCGCATCCATATCTCATTAATGACAATGATTTTAAAAGGCAGAATAATATACTATGCACTACAACTCCAACCTCGCACGGCTTGGAACAATAATTATTATTCATGGTTACTCAACAGAACTGTAAAAAGAAGCATTCAAGAGTATCAGACTCCAGATAATGACAAACTAAATATTCTGTATTGTGGTTCTTACTGTACCTCCTGTGTAGAATCTCTAGATTTTTTACATCGAACATGAGCTAATCTGTTAAGTTTCTTCAAAATGGTAAACAACAGTGTACACCTTATACGTCGTTCATTTATCTCTGGACTCTGAAAACAAAATATGAAACAAATACCATGACTTGGTGATCCTTGTTCTTATAGTTTCCCACTCCATTTCGTAATTTATTTGAATTTCGCATKACCTCGACGTCATTGTTTGGGGCTTTACAAATGGTCATGTGAGTTAACCAAAATTCAAAACGTGATCAATCDTTATTTTAGCAGTGCTAACAGTTAAGTGATCAAAAGTGKTATATRTTTACAGAAGCCTAGCATAGATAGTTTTCTACTAAGGTAAACATGCTATACTAGAACTAATGATTAGGGTACTGTATAAATCGTAATGGTAGAATGATTACCAAACTGCTCATGAATTCAACAGACCCTTTTGCATGGCAAATAAGCTTACTGTCTGTCCAATCAAAATGACATGTTGCTAGTCTTAGCTAACATCCAGTAAGTAATATTCTATTGCAACTTAGATTACAGCTATCCTGAACTACATTGCATGGAGCTACATTAGACATAAAACAGTTTTATTCTAGTTTAATTATATTATACTCAAACAGAGCAAAAGCTCACCTCTGCTTTCTTGCCCTCTTTCTTCAAGTCATTGATCTCTTCAATCAGTTTCTTGATTTCTTCGCTGGCTTTGCGGAAAGACACGACATCGCTCCCTGCATCACTCAATGCTTCTTCCAAGTCATCAACATGGGCCAGATCATCACCAACTTTGTCCTTGACAACATGAGCTGATTGAGACTTAGTCATCTTTTTCCCCTGTGGAGAGGTCTCTGGTTCAGACATCGTGCGACTCTTTCGTCTCTTCATCTTTAAGATTAACTAAATTAACTTAACAAACACACAAGATATTGATTTCCTACCCTTCGACGGATCACGAAACGTTCAAARTCATAGGCAAATTTCCACTTTTTGGGGATCTTAGTCCGTAAAATCTTCGATTCTTTGAACAAGCTCTCTGCAATGTGATTACAAAGCTTGGTTACCAGGCATTTATTTCCCAAGAATGCATTTCGAGCTCAACGATGGACTTCTATATCCAAAACTGAGTAAAATATACTTATTTTTCTCTCGCAATTCCATAATTTAACAACATCATAACCTCTTATGAAACGTATTGTAACAAAATATTGTTTAAACAAGATTTTAATTTGATTTTTTGGGTTCATTTTATCGATTCGTATTTATTTCCCAGCAATGCATTTCGGGCTTTGAGATTTGTTCGTAATGCGCATGTGCATGTGAGCTAAAACCAGCTGTTTGCTGGCTCATGTTTACCAAATATGGTCAAGAGAGAGGCGTAGTGCTGTTGAGTATTATGGTCTGTTTGTATAAAATGACATCATTTATTAGTCTTTCGTTATTTTGTTGATGTTCCTTCCTTTCCGTATATCTGAACCAATACTGCAGGTATGGACCGTTGTCTGGACTATTTTAAAGCCATTACTGCACACCTCTAATACACCAGTGCCCAAACAATTCACCTGGATAGTTTTGCAAGGCTGTCATCTGTTTTCGCCGTCGTGTTCGCTGCTTGTTTCTTGTTGTTTGTTGGAAGGRCAGCTTTGGAGATTTTGCTGGTGTTTTCTTTTATCAAGGAGTTGCCGGGGAAGGTTCTGTTAAAAGGTCTAGTTGATGGTAAGTACTTGTTCTTTGCTCGTTATTAAATTCTGCCCATAGAAGTACGTTTTTGCAGCTCAATTCTTTCACTTTCGTTATCCGCAGGAGGGGGAACAACCTAGCAGTATTGTTTGCATCAATTCTAGCGAAGTCTTCCCTAAGAAATCTYTAAAAGCAGGTAATTCAGGGAATTAAACTATCGTTTACTGACTTAGCCAGATTTCGTAATTTCATTAGATCTTCTCTTTTTTCSCATCCTCAATTTTTAACGCCATCTTTAACCAAACCCCATGTCTTCCACTCGACAACCGACAGAACTCGTGACATTAGTCAAATGTAAACATTGTGTATTCCTTGTTTTGGTAAAACTTTTAGATATCATTTTATTCTGCACAAGTTTTAGTTTTAACCAAAAAATTTCATCCTWAAAAATCCATATTCAAACTGATTTTTTTAAAGGTAAAAAGCATCGCTTTCCTACCGATTTTCTAGAGTCCATTTTATGTAAAACTTTATCCTTTAATATTTTAGTAATACGGCAGGTATTATATCCAATGCATTTTGCAAACGACTTCTAAAATCACTCATCGAATTAAAACTTTTCTTGAATTTTTAACCTCCTATATTTTTGGAATATAATTTCGAAGATATTCTGTTCTCAAATCTGTTCCCAAACTAAATGASTTCTCATAAATAAACGATAGAATATATAAGCAAGTGCATCATGCAGGTCTGTACAATAAACGGAGTGTTTTGTGTCATTAATTAATAAATTTAAGTACAACTTTGGCTCCATTTTGTGCTTATCCAGACAAAATTGTTGATTTCATGTACATTGTACATTTCAACGCTCCCTATAAACACCATTATAACACTTAATTTATAGTTTTAATTTCTAGGTAATAGGTCTCTTATGAAAATGGATGCTTGAAAGTAGATTTAATTTCAATCTGAATTCTTTATTCATAAATTTATAGTTATATAGTTTACATATTGTGCATTCTCTGGTATTTAAGATATCTGCCAGTGCATGTCAGGATAAACTGAATGTGAAATTCACACACCCTTGACCTCTGCTGAGCTCTTTAGTCATATGATGAATATGTAATACTTTGTCTTCTAAATTTGTGCAATTCACACTTTTACTCACTGGTTGCCTATTATCTTGAGATACAATTCAAATAAGTTTTTCAAAAATATCTTGGCCTACAGGGCTTAAGATAACGGCCAGACATTGGACAATGTCCGGCCAGAACTAGGACTTGTCTGGTCAAATCTTTGTCTTGCCAGTCATTTTGACAAGTAACTTAGAGACAAATGAGATGTGACTAAGCAAATACTAATTTGGCCTGCGATCATGACTATCCACTGATCAGAGATTATTTCAAGCTCTGGGCTTATAATTTTTACTTATTTGGAACTTTGTGTTGATGCAGAACAATATTTTTCATTCCAGATGACTCATCCTYGCAAGTGCTCTTTCCTGAACTTGAAGGTGAAAGCACTGAATTTTTAGGTTCTACCTCAGATGCAACACTTGCGTTGTCCACCTTTAGATTGTTCATAAGTTTCAAAAATTCTTTCCTCAATGTAAGTACTTAATCACTAACAACCAAATCTTAAATGACTGTGTTTGTGCATGCTTCAGTGAGCATGACGTCTTTACAGTCAAGTTGGCGACCAACTTTGGAACTTCAAAACAAAATTCGTTAACTTGGTTAGCTTATTTTACACAAACAAACTTGATTTTCAACCATGAGCTTCTGGATTTTCTTGGGGATATTCATTCYRGAACTKYAAATTCTATATRCTAAACCAAGTGCCAAACTTCAGCTGGAAGTTCTAAAATTCATAACGAACTTAGTTTTGAAGATCCGAAGTTGGTCCCAAACTTGAGAATTTCAAGTTTTAAATCTGAAGGTGTATAGTAATGTGAAACTGATTGAAAATGAAATACTTGGTCCCTGATAGACTTTGAACCTGCAAACTCCTTTGAACCTAGAAATAGGATGCGGTTTRAGGAAACAAAAACTAAGCAGCAGGAGATTGTTCATTTTCTTGMTTAAATGTGCCTCTTATTCTTTTGYTTGAGGGAATTCTGTTTAGTCTAGCATTCAATAGACCTCCTYGGCTCTGACGTAATGTTTTCCCATTTCAGACCACATGCCATTCCCTCTGTATCATTTCTTTGTTTCAATTTTGCACTCGGTTGCACATGAGAAGACACATGAATATGGATACAGCTCAAACAAAGAATTTTCAAGGGAATGACAAGTGGAAAACATTACCCCAAGCCAAAGAGGTCTATTGCAAGCACAAAAATTCTTATTTCATTATTCAAACAGGTTCTACACAAACATGAATGCAAGATCAAAATTTTTCTTGTCCTTCATGCTTGCATTTGTGCTTATGCCACTAATGCAAAACCTGATTACTTTATTTCTACATGTAACTGCATGTGCTTCCACACCAACATTCACACCTCTTTTAACACAGCRATATAATAATATTTAAACAGTACCCTTAAGATACATGGCCATTCTATAGGTTGAAAGTTCAGTATGATTATAATGGAATCCCATCAATAATCTACCAGAAAGTATTTGTTATAAGATTTAAATCATGATTTTATGTCTGTAAATCATACATTACACATCGGCCTTTTCTGAGTTCAATAAACAGGATGCATTTGTGGTGTCTAGACTCAGTTCAAACAGTACCATATTATGAGGCATGATGAACAAAAGATTTTGTACTGAGCAGAAGCTAGACCACATGTACTAATGTATGTAATGCTATCTCAGAAAAGGTTGATTATGGTATAGTAAACAGTTTTATAACCAAAATATTTCAGTTTATTTTGTTTGATCAGCATCATCTATTTTCCTTTCACTTTCAGCTTCCTATTTATTTGATTGAATCAGTGGAATTAAAAGATTTGTTTATTATACAAGTAAACTGTAAAGATGCCAGATCATTTAGGTATAATATATATTTAGCAATTATTCGCCAAAGGCGAAGTGAATATTGGGGAATATTTACCGAGACGTGAGTCTTTGAGYRGCGAGGTAAATWTTTTCCATATTCACTGAGCCTGAGGCGAATAATTGTTTTAGCATATACCAACTTGTGTACAGAGTAACTTATTTATGTATACAATATAATTTTATATAATTCAATAAAAACAAACAAACAGAAACTTTTAGTTTGGGTGGCAAATTCACATAAAACTTTTAGCAAAACTTTTAGGCCATACTCTGTGCCTTTTTAGTATTGATAGGAATGGCATTTACTTTCATTTTTTTCAATTTCCTAACGATTGCCGGCAGATGTCATTTTGTTGCTGACTCAATGTTCTGAGATTCAGAGGTGAATATCTTACAATATTCACCTCCAATTAACCAATGAGTGCGCACGTTCTTAGGAAGTACACAAGTTAGTATATGCTAAATATATTTTATAGATCAAATTGGAAATAAASTTGTTAGGTTTTATGGAGGGAATGAAACTTGAGAACCCAGAGAAAAACCTTCAAATCAAAAAAAAAACTCTAATAAAATGTACTCACTTGTCAAGCCAAGATATCAAACCAGAGACCTCAGAGGTGAGAGGCAAGAAGCTAATCTACTACTGCTACAGTCCACCCTTGATTGAAGGACTTTAAACATTGAGTGCCACAGTTTTATCAATAGGTAATCATCCTTGCTAAATAAAGTAATTTTTTTCTTGTTTATTTTCTTATAGGATAGATTTTGATAATAATGAACAATGTGTAAAATGGTTGCACAGATTGTCAACAGCTATATCACCAATAAACAAAACAGAAGAACTCTTTTCATTTGTATACTATTGTTGGACAATGGAATCTAAAACCACTAATGGCTGTTGCTCGGGTATTGCASACTGTAATGGCCTTTGGCTGACAGGTAAGTTTCTAATGTCTAAATTAATAGTGTCAAAATAGTAACAGACCCACAATTTTTTCATGAATCTCCTCTCACCCTGATTGCTTACAAGCATCCCCTAATTGGCTGTTAAAAGTTTTAAATGTATCTCTGAACAGATGGATGTACACCATATTCATTCTTCATTCCTCTCACCCTGATTGCTTACAAGCATCCCCTAATTGGCTGTTAAAAGTTTTACATGTATCTCTGAACAGATGGATGTACACCATATTCATTCTTCAATGAGGCACAGAGGCTTGGCTTTGACACCAACATGGATGACTCCCCATGGAGAATTACCGATATTAATTCAAAATTTGAGTAAGTGTTACCATATTATATCCAATTGTTGTTTCTTGGGAACATTTTACTGCATTTTACTCAGTATCTATGAGTTGCTCGTTGTAATTTGGTTTTTTACTGCTGCTAGTCAAAAATCTAAAAGGTGTATAGTAATTAATTTTAATTGATGGCGGCAATTAACAAAAGAAACAAAATCTTGACATGCTAATCACAGATGTGATGTGAGTTTGCATGAAATTGAAAACCACTATAAAAGAGAGCTATTGTATATGACTGTACAATGATTAGTCAAGAGTGAATGTAGCAATAGGAAAGACTGTTGTGTAACGTTGAGAGCTTTGCCAAGACTCTCCAATGTCAAGGGTTTCATTCCTGGACTCTGTGTGAGTAGAGTTTTTAGTTTATTCTTTCCAGACATGTGCTTCAAGGTTTTTTCTCCAGTTTTCCTCCCTCCCCAAAAATTCAACTAATCTAAATATTTCCAATTCAATCATGGAATGAGAGCCACAGGTTTCCTAGCCACTTGCCCATTAGTGCCATGCTCATAAAACAAGGACTGTTTAGTGRATATGCATTCATTTTTAATTTGTTTCCTTTTTTCCCCCAAAGGATCTGTCCCACCTACCCAAAGCTGCACATAATACCAAAGAGCATAACGGATGATGAACTAGAAAGAGTAGCATCATTCAGATGTGCAAGAAGATTCCCTTCAGTTGTGTGGAGGTAAGCTCAGGACCTGCCCTTTTCAAGGTCTAAATACATGCATTTTCAGGCATTTTTGTCACTTTGTAACATTCATTAAAAGTACAAGAGCACTTTTTCTTCGTGTTTCTTTATTTGATTCATAAACCAAATACTTCAAGTGTCAATGTTCATGTACTTACTTACTTATGGCCATGGTTGCATTGGCAGATCTAGGAGAAGGGTACAGGAGGTGTGTACCCCCCTCCCCACCCAGATGAACTGACAATCTTTTTATGGAAAATAGACCCCTTGCATGTGATGTCAAAGCAGCTCAATTGGGAGAACAAAGCAAAAATGAATTTCAATCTCATGAGAATTGGAAACCTATTGTTATGTCCTCCAAATTGAGCTGCATACCGTCGTGCTGCAAGGTTCCTATTACTTTGTGCTGACTCTGGTTTTTCCTTATCATAAATAGTGAAACTCCTCCTAGATAAAATCCTTGATGCGCCCATTGGCCTACTTGTTGAGCGCACACTTACATGTAGTGTCAATACATGATTATCATTAGAGTTAACCTAGCATTAATTAGGCCCTTGGTTAGCATAGAAGYGTGCATGGTGCAAATTATAACACGTCATAAAAGCAATGATAAAAATAATGATAGCTAATTGGCTGATCCTTTTAACAGGCATGCAGCTAGTGGTGCAGTYATTGCCAGATGTAGTCAACCAGAGGTGGGATGGCTGGGGTGGAGAAGTAATGAAGATGAAAAACTACTCCAGGCAATTGGTCGTATTGACAATAATGCCAGTACTAAAATTGAAAAGGAGTCAGAGAATGGCCTAGACAAGGAAGATCTTTCAAATGGAATGGTCACRAATGGTAAACTAACACCAGAAACTGGAAGGAGAGTTCTTATAGTGGAYGCAAGGTCCTACACAGCAGCCTTKGCTAACAGGGCTAAAGGAGGTGGTTGTGAATGCACAGGTAGGAAAAGCACTTTCACAATTAATTGAATGGGAAGTGAGAAAGGAAGAAATCATGGGTGGGAAAGAGAATGAATTTAAAGAAGGATAGTCCTTTTCATCCACTTGTTGGCCAATGAGAAGARAAAAAAAWAGACTTTGACACTTGGTATGCGACAAAAACATCTTCTACTGTAGCTAGTGTATTAATGCAGTGCTGCCTGTTTTATTCTAGAGTACTACCCCAATTGTGAGGTAGACTTTATGAACCTGGGTAACATCCACACTATAAGGAAAAGTTTCTATCTTCTAAGGAATCTGTGTTCAGGTCCTCAAGATGTTCCCAGGTAAGAAGCTCTCCTGTTTTTTATCCATCAAAACTCTTTACTTATGCAGACAAATGTGAATGAAAGTTCTAAGGAACCTGTCCACTTCTGATTGTTGCATCTCTGGACAGATGTCATTCCCCCATGCCCACCCTAACCTTATTTACTTAGACCATGTGTCATTCTCTTGAGAATACGATTTTTTGTTTGTGCTATATCCATATTCTTGTGTGCAACAGTTAAACAAAGAAATCATACTGTAGAAAAATCAGGCAAATCTCCCCAAAATTTCCAAAAATGTGAAAAATKATTTGCTCACTGCTCTTTACCTATTGGTATTGATAAAGCTGGTATTYGAAAACCCTGTACATGGACTGAAATGGGAAAACATTGCATCCTAGATAAAGAGGTCTGTTATACACCCTATTAATATTTGAACATTATTAATTTTGCAGTTGGTGGTCACAGCTCGAGAAAACCAACTGGCTTCAGCAYATTTCCATGCTCATAAAAGCAGCCGTTAATGTAGTTAACACAATAGACAAGTATGGCAGGTCCGTAGTGGTACACTGTAGTGATGGCTGGGACAGGACCACTCAAATAGTGGCCCTTGCTGAGCTTCTTCTAGATCCTTATTACAGGACCATTGAGGTAACCTTTTTATTTCTATCCATTTATTATGGTTTAGGTTGCTGTAWTGATCCCATTCATGATGGGGTAATCGTTTTGAAGAATTAAAAATATCCTGCAAAAATGGAATCGTAAGAATCTTTAAAATATAATGGTGTTGCCAGAGGAACATAATTGAAACAATCACAACGGCGGATCCAGCCAAAATTTTAGGGGGGGTTTAATTGAGTTTCTTCTGTCAACACAATGGAAAACAATAAAAAAAGGCATCTAATTCTTCATTTTGGTTTTTGTTTTTTTCTGCTTTGCCCCCCCCCCCCCGTCCTGCATCCGCCCTTGAACAGATTCATACGTTCTGACTCTGGTATTACATCCTGAATNCATAGGAAATCAGAAACAAGATCTGCAACTGTGGATGGGATTCTAACTGCACAAATTTTAGCACAATACAAGGGCGGATCGAGCCCAAAAAAATTGGGGGGGGGGGGCTAATTGAGTTTCTTCCCTCAATACAATGGAAAACAATAAAAAAAGGCATCTAATTTTTCATTTTGGTTTTTGTTTTTTTCTGTTTCCCCCCCCCCCCCCCCCCGGATCTGCCCTTGCCTCAGTCACAGTTAAGTTGAAATACGATAGCTAAAAAAAGATATGATTTTTTTGGTTTAAACAAAGAGACGTGGCAGGGATGTCATTTTCCATCTTGATCTTCATGATCTGCCATTCATATAGCATGGAAAAACCAGTTCCCTGTTATTTCACTGATCCATGCATGTTTGTTTAAAGGGATTCACAGTGCTAGTAAACCGGGAGTGGTTAGAGTTTGGTCACAGGTTTGCTGATAGGTGTGGACATGGCTTTGGATATGATGAGAACGAAAGGTGTCCAGTCTTCGTTCAGTGGTTGGATTGTGTACATCAACTGTTGCGACACTTTCCTTGTGCTTTTGAGTTCAATGAGACGTTCTTGGTAAGATACTATTGTTATCTTAGGTGCCATTCACATGAAGGAAGAAAGGCTGACTCGAATGCTAGGGACAAGACTTTTTTTTCTCTCTCCAAGGAAGACCAAATACAACGAAGTTAGCCCTACCATTTCTGTCAACCTACTTTCAAATTTCATCCTATGAACGTCTTGAACACTTTAACCAGCGAATAATTTCGTATTTATAATTTAGATAATTACATAGACACACGGGTATGGTCATAGTACAGAATCAACAAGATCCATTGATACMAGTTACAGCAAGTGATACATGTTACTGACTGTTGATTCTGCGAAATTTTCAGACAAAAGGCGAGCTAATCCTCTGAGAACATTTCCACGTTTCATTGCTGTTATCCTATTCTTTATTTCGTTTCCTTTCTATATATATTCATAAGTAAATAGTATAATATTCTACCCTATGTATTGTTATTAATGAGGTATGAGGCATCCATTCTGGCCTAGAACAATGTCCAGGTAACCCAGAGTGTAATGTTTTTATCCCGCTTGCTCSCGGGTGAGGCGGGTAGGTCGACGTCTGTACTCTTCCCGTTAATTTGAATGAAGTGGCAGCAGAGGGACCACGCTTCCCTTTATATATACTCTATTTGCATATTACGATTCCCTAGGGTATTCATCATAACATTCACAATGACTGTGAATAGTATAATTTTACTCTACTTCGATTGAATGATAATGACATTCAGCAAGTGTTTGAACGTCGTTTTGATAGTAACCTTTCTACAATGACATATCAGCATTTAATCTTAGCATAATTTTGACTTATTGGGTTTAGTGCAAGCTTGTTCAGCACACGTACTCGTGTTTGTTTGGTACGTTCCTTTGCAACTGTGAGTCTGAAAGACAAAAAGATAATGTCAAGGCGAGAACATTCTCAGTCTGGTCACTGCTTCACTCAAAGAGAAAAGAATTCAGGAATCTATTGTATTCTMCTAACAGTTATCGGGTAAGTAATGATAGGTGCTAAGGAGGGTTGGGTCTCCCCGGCCACCCCTCCCTAAACAACCGATCGATAGGACGGAAATGAAAAGATAAATGCATCTTTGCTGCCCTCATTATCTACTATTCCAAGCTTAATTATTGCCAAGTTGCTTCGTTTCGTCATCAAATCGATCTCTGGTTGGTATAGTAATGACTATAGTTTACATCACAGCAACTAGCGATGTACAGGAACAGCATGAATATCGTATGCTAGTTCACTTGTCAACACCCAATCTCCCATTTCTTCCTTTTYCTCTCTTCCTCTTTCCACTCCTTAGTCTTCCCTCTTTTCCCATATTTCATTCACGAGTTTACTTGTTTACGTTTRCAGGTTCTTTTTCCATCGTACCACGTTCGAAGCCTCGTACTGTGGTCAGCTGTATATCTCGCTTACCCAACACCTTTCGTTGATCACCGAGAAAGCGACCTCCACGCACATTCCCCTTCTTCCTCCTCCTCGCTACGAGTCCCACTAAACTATAGTGACTCCACCCTCGAAACAAAACCTTCCCCCACTACAGGAATCATTTCTTCGAAGTCCGACGGCGATTTGCTTCGTAATCACATGTGTAAGACTTGTAATGATCGCCATTTAGATCACCTCAAAGGTAACGGAAGCAATTCAATTCAGTGCYACGGCGAMTCCTCGSACTCTAAAAATAAATCGCCAWCTACARCGTGCAATGGTGACGCCCATCACYCAGAAGARGAAGAAGACACCACAGYCTCTAACAGCTTGTACTTTAGTACGACTACTGATAAAAGTAAAACTAATATGAATTCTCATTCAGATGGGGATATCGCTCCAGATATGAACTCTAGTTTGTCTAGTAGTCGCGGCACACTGGTGCAGGATGATCCTCGTGGCGATGATAGCGATAGTGAARGCGAAGGTAACGAAAATCTTTCGGACGCAAACAGCTGTTTAAAAACGAGAAACTTTAGTGAAATTTCTGAATCCAAACAGGATTCCTTGTCATATGAACACCTCTCTTCCCAAGGTGAATTAGACAATACATCGGAAAGTAATGAAAGTGAAATGAAAGATAGTACCATTTTAGGTAAAACACGGTCTGAGCCGTTGAAGAATGATGCTTTGGATAATTCAACAAATGTTAGTACAAAGACACAGAAAGACGAAAAAMCTGAAACACGCACTAGTGAGAGTATTAATACGATCAAACCTAGTCCTTCTAGTATGTACGCTCGTTACCTTGACAACGATGGATTAACATTGAKTAAGAATGACGTACAGGACAGGCTAAGGCAGATAGATGTGACTTATCAGGAGCAACTAGAAGTATTGCGGGCTCAAGTTATGGAAGAACGGCGGAAAAGGTTCCTGGGTAATGTGGATTCTGGTGGAAGATTTACTGATCTGAATGACGAAGTGGTAAGTATCACATGGAAAAGTCTCTTTTCGCRTGTATACATAATTTTGGTGTAAAAGATACCAATAARGGTTTTGGACCATCACGTGCCAACGCTCATACTACAGCTTGGGTTGCCTGTGGGTAGATGGCAGAACAATAAATCCCTTTGCTCTTGGGCCGCCGCGTTTCATGACTTAAGACTCATCTGCACAGGCTTAGCCTCGCTTAAGAAAACTGTAGCGGTATGCGTTGAATACGAAACTGGCGTAAAGAGCAGTTTTTGTATGGCTGTGAAAGAGCTCGCGGTACCAACRCMTTCATGACTTGGCAAGGCATACACCAGACCAATCACATTGCGCGAAAATTTACTTTCCATCCGATCGGATGCCCAAAACACAGCGCGGGCACGGTCACGCCAAGGTCACCGCACTGCCAGACCAATCACGTTGTGCGAGAAAACAATCAACCAATCAACAGYTCACCACAAGATAATGCAACAAAAAGATKAATTAAGACGGCACATCGATCACCTTTACTCACAAAAGAAAGACAAACACACGAAACTCTTTATATTTCCCTTCGTTTTTGTTTTGTTTTGCTCCCTGGAAGATGGCCGCCATATCATCGAAGTAGTCCATGTAATATGTTACATTTTTCTTCTCCACGTATTCTTATCACTTTAATTTTCTTTTCTTGTGGAGACAGTGTTCACTACCAGACTCCACCCAGAGTGGCGAGCAGCCTCCGTTGTCGAACGGGAGTGGTGACGAGTCGAGTTGGATTGAAGTGGAAGAGACTGATGCGGAGCCTACTCGTTGGGTACCAGACCACGCGGCCGCAAATTGTGCCAACTGTGATGCAGAATTCTGGATCGCCAATAGAAAGCATCATTGTAGGTCAGTATCGGTCAGCATTGCTTAAGAAATAGAAAACGCACGCGAGTGCTACGTGTAGTTATAAAGCATTGGCAAAACACAAAAGAGTGTTAGGAGAAGCACGACGCGCTTTAATAAAATACAAAATAGAATAACCGTTATTTTGGATACGAAGGACAAAATAGGAAGTGCTCGAAAGTGATACGGTTTCTCGCTTGTAATTGCCCTAATTCACTATGACGTCACATCAAAACAATCTATTGTTTAAACGCAAAGGATCATGGGCGTCGGAAGGGGTTCAAATCAACGCAAATTCACCGAAAATCGTTCTAAAACCCGTATYAATCCACGAAGAGAAGTAGAATAGCCAGCAAACGCTCAGAATCTTTTTTAGKACATATTAWYACATATYATATCTGAAAAACAGRCCATTTTAGATTAAACTGTTTCGCTAGGAGCAAATTGTGTTGTATTTTCTATTGGATTTGGCGATTCTATCCCCCACATAAACAAGCAGTGACGTCATAGTGAAATAGGTCAATTGTGRACGAGTATAATGGGAAGCCATGATGAAAGTTTCACATTCACACGGAGACTAATTATACCCAAGAAGTCTTGACAGAAGAGGGCTGACTTACTGATATTAGGTACCATTTAAAGTGCAGTGAACTCAAAAATATTAGGCTTAGGTTAAAAGTCGAACCTTACGTGAGCCGAACCTTATTGAAACAATGGATAACAAGGTGGTGTTCTTTGATGTCATTAGGTTCGGCTCATATCAAGTTCGATGTTTGACCTTCGTCTTAGTCTCACAAAGATTCTGCCCTAATTTTTTGCCCATCATCTTTTTAACTTTCTGGTGCACTTTTGATGACCCAGGAATTGTGGACAAGTATTCTGTAGCAGCTGTTCAAATCACAACCTGCCAGTACCCAATGAGCAGCTCTACGATCCTGTACGCGTCTGTATGTCCTGCTTCGAAAAACTCGTCTGCATGGAGGAACGCCACAAAGACCAGCGACGGAATCCTGAAATGGTTTCTGCTGTTGGGTAGTCATGGAAACATAGTAGCAATTTCTGACCATCCTTTTYCCCAGAGCTTTCGTTACCTTGGCCAGCATTAATGAACAAGACCTCCATATTTATTAACCTATATGTAATAGAATTTTTCAATGGCCAAGTATAGAGGCTTTGCACCATCACTTGCCGGCACCCATATAGTCCACTCGCTGGCCCCGCTGCGATTTTGTTGGGCTGCCTGTGCTCGCAAAAGCGCAGCGGTCAGAGGAGCCTGGACTGCCTGTGACTAGATGGCAGAACAATAAAATCCCTTTGCTCTCAGGAATYGAATCCTTCCTCGTGTAAAACGATTGTATTGTTCCTGCCATCTAACATGGCTGCCGTCTCGGGATGGGCAAGGCCTCTATTGGCTATAATTTCCATCCCAGTTATCTTACTTCCGGTTTCGAGAAAACCGGAAGTCCAAAGAATTTGAATTCACTTTCTTATTTCTTCATGYTCGCTAAAATTATTCGAAAGCTCTGAGAACGAGAGTGATATTTTGTCATATCAATCTTTTGTATAAAAAAAATTCATTATTCCAATTTTAAAAAGAGGCAGTAAACTGCCATAGCGGTTACCATAGTAACATAAATTCTAATTAAATTCGGATTTAATCCYTTATCTCATTCGTTCGCTCTTTGAAATTCTGATAGGAATATTCTCTTTCGAATGATCGCCCTAGCATAGAATCCTATTTCTACTTTTAGGGAAAAAATATATATTTATGATTGTTATAAAAATGAATATTTCACACGAAGAAAAAAGAAGAAAAATGAAGAAAAATGTTATATAGAAATCAGATAGGAGTCTTWAAAAGTTGGTGAACATTATAAGTTAACATTCGTTTTTCCCTTTTATTTGAGTAAGATACGTTTTCATTTAAAGAAAGTTTAGGGTTTCACTTAAAGTGCCCCTCACCAATAACTCAATATTTTCAGGATATGATTGTTAATGAAGCGAATTGCAAATTTGTTTTTTCATACTAATCAGTGCTTCAGTTTATAAATGTTGACAAATGAACAGTCTARCGCCTCCTGACATCACACTCATTTACATATTAACAGTATATACCTTGATGTCTCCAAGATGCATCAGTCAATTCATATGAAAATATTTTGCCATTCAACCATTCACTTCATGTAGAATCAATATTGAAAATATTGAATTACGGTTGAGGGGCACYTTAAGAGGGAGTTTCAGCAGTAATATTAGGGATTTTAAGATTTGCAAAATCTACGACGGTGACGTCAACCGGAAGTGTAAATAACTTCACTTTAGGGTCCGGCGTATTCAAAGTCAGCCTTTACTGCGGATTAGTTGACCTAATTGACAATGTTTTAGATGAAATCTCCAATGAACAGAACGTCGACTTCGTAGATTTAGCAAATCTTAAATTCCCTATTTTTAAGGACGACTCGTGTGATTATCGTCCCCTTACCCCACCCCGCCCTAATGAAAACATACCTTCTCGTGTAGTATTAAGAATCTGGTCTTATTCTAATTTATCTTAAGGGACCAGAAAACACGCTTAGAATCTAGAATAGTAGTAATAGTCATCGCAACACTGACTAAAATGTGCTCGCCATTATGGTCGATGTAACCAGTAATTTAGTTATGTTCAATCTACAGAGGGCCACAATAGGCTTCGCGGGATTCGGGATTGGCCTTATTTTGAAGGCGGCATTTCGGAGTACGCGTTAAAAAAAAGCGGGAAGCGGGATTCTCACACAGGCGATTGGGAGCGGGATTTGGTGTTTTTGAGTTGTTCGGATTCGGGGATCGGAGGGTTTTCAGTTGGATACGAGATTACAGTTCTTTTGTTCGCGAATTCAAACAATTKCCGTTCAGTATGCTAAGCTATATCAAGTCACATCGTAACAAGACGGGATCGGGATTTTAATACTAACTTGGCCGAGCGSGATGGCGGGATTGCCAGCAAAAACGAGCGGGATGGAGGGATCTGAGAACCCTATTGTKGACCCTCTCCACATAGCGGCTATGTTACCAGAGCCTGCGCTTGTAACATGAATAGACCTCTTCCGACGTTCATTCATATTTTTCTCTGTACTGMCTTTTCATTTCACCTTAGTGGCGCTAAGCTACGGTGTAAATGTCTAATTAAATCTAGTCTAACAAAAGCTAAAACCAGTCAAACAGTAATTTACATTGTAGATAATAAATTAGGGCGCCTCTTAAGCCTGGTTCACACTAGCGACGCAAATGCAAGCACAAGGGCAAGGAAAGGAAACATTTTTCATTTTCTTGGACTTGATTGCACGAACGTGTGTGGGGACGTGTGTTTGCATTAAACTACGAGGCCAGAAATCTTATAAAGATAAATAAGCACCAATTTGCATGCGTACCATCGTTTGTTTGCGTTTCATGTGTTAACCGGTCTTGTAGTGGTTATTTATGACTAGTAATGCTACTATTCTGATSAGGAAGTACAATTTTTACTATGAAAAAAAGAATTTGCAAAGTGTTTACTTGTAGTATTAGTAGTCGTAGAATGATGTCATTGCACAAAATTCCTATTTCCCTTGCTACGATGGTTTTCCATCAGGTCTCYGGTTTTCATCCCTCCGCAAAACCTAACAAGCTAAGGAAAGGTACTTTGTATACAGTGCTTTGTGGAGGGTCAAACCTTTTTATTTGAATGACAAAAGCCGTTAATTAGTCGAAGGGTCATGAATTTCTTACTGAGTGAAAGGTGGATTTTCCCTCCTTAGATCAGCTCTGGATCAGCACAGAAGTTGTTTCATTGTTCTATCTGTGAGTTAGTTGTTTTAGTGTTCGATCTGTAATTAGCCTTGCCCTGACTTAGATTCAACCTATAGAGGTTGTTTCAGTGTTCGAAAAAAATTGAAGGGTGAAAGTCGTAGTAAGCTGATCAACAGATACGGTCATATTTAGATAAACTGGATGTCGATTGACGAAAACATTAATTTTCTTTTTCTTTTTTTTAAAGACAGAGCAAACTTAGGTAAGCTTACAATAAACAATCTTTAATGATTTGCTTATTTTCACCAACCCGAAATTCGCCAAGACAAGTCCCAGGCCAACAGAATATTTTCTTGAAGTAAAAACATAGCCTGAGTACGAGCAGCCGGCTGTACGCAGGCTATAAAGGCATTGCCGAGTTTCACATTGTGGAGGACTGGGTCGAAACCGATGAAAGTCTTCTTTTTAGGCCCCGTCCTATGCAGGATAAATTTGAATCGGAATTTTCAAACCGAAACCGAAGAAAAAGTTTTCCGTCCACACTGATACGGCTAGCCGGCGTTTTCAAATTGTTCCAATCTGGAGACCGTATTCGAAAAAAGTCGTTTTCGRTGAATCGCCCGGACTAGTGTGGACGGTAGGCCTGTCCGAATAAATAAAAATTCGGATTCAAATTTATCCGGCATAGTGTGGACGGGGCCTTAGTCAGCGGGCCAAGTATAAAATGTTTAAAAAATGAGTTTGAAAGTTGATTCTTTTGAAAAGAGAAAAAGTAATCGAAATCAAAATCAAAGCAAAGAATTTGAGAGAAAAAACGACGTGAAAAGAAAGATCATGAACAACCRTCTTTGGACTAGTTACAGTAATATCATAACAAGAAGAGTTTTGCTGGCTGCTTTTCCAATTTCTACTATTATACATTGACGGGATTTATATTACTTGCAATCACGCTGTTATTATTGTTCCCCAAGCCGCTACCCCGCGCACATGCTGCTCAAGTGCGAATGACTGATTATGCAAATTCGCCATTATTTTAATTTCTTGGCCTTGTCCTCATTCCGTCTAAGTAGGCCAATGGAAAGACAACCGAAATATTGCTGATCGCTTGGGTACAGACAAATTCGTTGTACGAAGATGGAGAAAAGACAAAGAAAAGCCGGTACCACTAGTAAGTGAATATATCCCTAAAGTATTGTTTTATGGAAAGGAAAACCACACTCAAAAATTTCTTTTGATTTGGTTCGCCTTTTTGAATTTTTCGCATTTTTCAGGACTAGRCGCTCGAGGCTGTCATAATTGAAACACCTGATTGATAAGGATTGTGTCTTTTAAGCCGTTGAAAGCATTCTAAAATGTAAAAACCTGCTGAGCAAATTCAAAATTATATCYGATGTCATTACCATATATGTTATTTTATACATTTCCGAAGTATATACAAATATTTTCGACTTGTATAGAAGTTACGTAACCAAGGCAACCGGCGTTATATCGCGTAACTTTAACGATTATTCTTGAAGAACGGAATGGATTGAGTCACCCATGCCAAAAAGCAACATTTCTCGCGAGCAAGTGTCTTCAAGAACTCCGATTTAAATAGCGTTTAAAATCGTGAATCGTGTTCGACTTTTGCATTTATTCATTGTTCGGTGTTCCGTGTTTGAAGGTAAACTTCAGAGAGAGAGGCGTATAAAAGAAAATCATTAAATATTTAGACTATTATGGCGAGAAAGAGTTGGAAGGACAATATTAAGCGCATAATGACTTCCGGCCACAAAAGCTTWTATCGCATTTAATTTCGGAAAACAGTCATTTTTTTACGACTATGCTAAAAAAAATGTGAAACTACATAGAAGGCCGAAGAAATTTTAAAAGATATAATAATTTTTTTTACATTTGAAATTTTAACGACACTACGAAATAGAAAGATTGTTTTATAGAATATATAATAAAAACAGCAAATGATTCAAAAGAAAGACACAAAAAACATAAAAAACCTAAATTCCGAACACCATAGTATACATACTTAGTATAAACACACAGGTGATTATTGAAAATCGCGCKCGCTGATTGGTCGAGAAACTCAGATTATCACACGATAATCACCTCCAGCGATAATCCAAAATGGCGGCCAGCCGCTTTGTTGCTGTTACTGGAAAAAATGTGCATGTCTTTTATCTTCTTTTTTTCTTTTTTTGAAAAATCCCCTGTGTATTTATACTAAAACAATTATTCGCCTCAAGCTCAGTGAATGTCGGGAATAATAACCTCAACTTCGTTTCGGTTATTATTCCCCGATATTCAATGAGCCTGAGGTGAATAATTGTTAAATAACGTAACGGATATAACTAAACCAAAACCAACCAAAACAACCCACAAAATCAAATATGATATACAAGTTTGAAGTACACTATAGCACTAATTTTTACTTTGACCAGACATCGATTCGCTGATGAAACAAATATTAAAGCGACTTGGCCTGGCCAGAACTATATTTGTTGGCAAATTCATTTAGGGAAGCATGGATGGCACGTTCGTATACGTAGCAGTGAGAACGCTCACCTCTCATCAGTGCGACCATGGTTCGAGTTCCGCCGGGCTCGGTGTCGTATGTGAGTCATAGAGTTGTTTATGTTGGTTCTCTCCTGTGCTTCGAGGGTTTTTCTTCCGGTTTTCCTCCCTCAGCAAAAATCAAATTCTAAATTCCAATTGGAATTCAGTGGATGAAGAGCCAGTCTGTGAAAATGCCACTGCTAATTATTATCTTAACTTCATAATGCTAATGTTTGTAAAAACCTTGCACCTCAGGCCATAGCATGATCAATCCTTTAGCGTCTGATCTTTGCAAACATGTAAGATACAATATACACATTATCCTACTGATTAAACTGCACAAACAGCAAAAACACGGGAACACAAAAAATATCAAGAAGACCAGTAAAAAAGCTTTTTCCAAGTCTTAGACTGAATAGGTTACGATATGATGACACACGAGCGAAAAGGATGGTACATAGCAATCCACTTCAGGAAGAGGATAGCACAACGGACGCCTCAGGGAGAAGGATGACACATGGCAATCAACCTCAGGGACAAGGATGGCACAAGACACCTAAGGGTGAAAGATGACACATGACAATCCACCTCAGGGAGAAGGAT